ATATAAACCTAAATGGGAACTATGAAAACACACTTCTGTAACTGAATTATATTGGACATTTTTTATTATTTATAAAACATAATAATCGATTTACTGTGTTTTTATATTAAAATGTTTTATTGCTGCTAAATAATTTTCCCTTCTGCTGCTGCAACAACCAGATTCCAACAAAACTTGGAAAAATAGTCAGAACAACATACTTGGAAACATGGATAAACTCACTCGCTCACTTACTCACACACAGCCTGAAATGAACTGCAGCTAAAGTGTAGTGTTTATCTAATAACACCTTGTGACTGCAAAACCTCTCACTGCCATTACACCAATTGGACTGTTGGTGACAGAGACGTCTTTTCAAGTCTCCATCTCACTTTTTCCTCCCTGCTTTGACATTCTTGCTTTGTCTTGCTCTCCCTCTCTCTCTCTCACCCACACACACTCTCTATCTGTCCCTCTCACCCTCCCTATTTTTTTTGTTTTTTCTCTTTCTGTGTTGGTTCAATGGGTAGCTGGTTGGAGAGCCGGGCAGGGGGTCTGTGGTCAAATTGGCCGTTTCCACACTGTGTTCTGCTGTACCTGCTGACAGAGCTATCAGATAACTTAGCTCCATCTCTTCCGTCCCTGCTGGCAATGTAACTGTGTGTGTATATGAGAGAGAGAGAGAGAGAGAGGGGAGGGGAGGGGAGGGGGAGAGCGGGAGACAGAAAGAGAGAGAGAGAGAGGATTTGTGGTTCTTTGATATAATTAGATGTTATATATGAATTTTTATTATTGGTATGATTTTTTAATTTACGATGATTAAATCTTGCATGCTATATAGATAAACACTCACACTCATGCACACACACCCAGCAAGTGTTGCAGTTGGCTGTAAACTGACCAGAGTCCATAGCTCCCTCTGTTGGCTAGTAGTGAATTACAATCTCTCTCTCTCTCTCTCTCTCTCTCTCTCTCTCTCTCTCTCTCTCTCTCTCTCTCTCTCTCTCTCTCTCCCTCTCTGTATCTCTCTTTCTCCTATGTGTTGGCAGCTCTCTTTCCCTTTACACAGGCAAAGTTCAGCGTTGTGTGTTTTCCAGCTGTTTTCATTTTTGCATCACCTTTATTTTCTAGTCCAGATTATAACATGTTTGTGCTGCCAGTTGTAATAATTTAAGTATTATTAAATGTTAATAAAAACCAAGTGCTATTTAGTGATCAACACAAATTATATTTTTGTTAATCAGTACAGGAGCTTTGTTTGTAGCCTCAGCCTATTGATGTGTGTATGACTAGCACACTCGTGTCGACGGTGGCCCGAGGTCAGTTGCTTAAGTGACCACCTCTTGGATTTGTTAAAGACTGTTTTGAGCAGCACGGACACACACACACGCACACATACATTCACTGCCCTGAATGAACTTGCTGTGGCCTATCGAGTGGTGTGATTGATGTCAGTGAGAGTTGCAATGGATAATTCTTCCACAGAGCTGCCACGACAGGGTCAAAACACATACACAATCACAGACAAAAGGCAAGAGTAAGAGATCAGCAGCTTCACATTGGACCTGAACTGTGAAGTGCCTGTTCACACACATGCAATTATTATAATTATATTATTATTATTACTACATTTTGACTGGTTTGGGAAGAGTATTTTAACCACAGTTTTGTACAAATCATGGGAATGTGATTGCCGGGGAGCCAGCACACACAGGTTCACATTGGAACAAACAGGGCATTTCCCTGACTTTTACTGTAATAGATTAGTGTTTAAGAGGTTTGCATGGCAGCTGTGTTTGTCCATTGAGAGAAAGAAGTGGCCTAAAGGGGTCACTGTCAACATACACACTGACTGAGAACCAATCAATTATCCGGCGGGGGTTGTGGTAGGGAGGTAGCATTTAGGGTTGTTTTAGGGTTCAGTTCAAATCTCTGAAATCTCTCTGATATTTATGACAGTGTATATAGATTCCAAATATAAGATTCATAAGTTTCAGGAACATATGTGGAAGTTACAACACATTTAAGACACAGTCTGTGTATGATTTTGTCTGTGTGGTATAGGACTACTGTCTCACCACAACAATTCTTTGCTATTTACACAATAGACACAAACTTTTTTAAAATCTGATCCTTAGATTTCATTCTGATGCTTTTTATATTTTTTTATATCAAACACATTGCTGCTTGTACTAAAACTGACTGTTAGCGTCCACAAACTGCATAAATGCATAAATTACAGAGTGTGGAACTCTGCAAAGAAAAGTGTCATTGAATATTTTCTAGAGTAAACTGCAACAAAGAAATATGCCTCCATGAACACGACCAGTTCATCGCAGACTGTTTAATTTATCTTTGTGTAAGTCAAATCACTTTTTAAAAATGTTTTTGTTTGTAGTGCAGCCCTGAAATTTAAGAATGTATGTATTTTTGCATCTCTTCTGCAACTCCAAACATTTCCTCCTTTCTTGTTTCACTTATAGTGATCATCTATATTTTAGTTGTTTGTGTAAAATAAATTTCCCACAAACAGATTTCCTAGATTTTTTTATTAATCTTTCTCAAAAAAATATAGAAATGGTAGATGCTTGTGTTTGTATCTATTTGTGTGTGTTGGAGACAGAGGTTTTGGTAAAGGATTTGTTTGCCCAGTAGTGACGGCAGCATTGATTCACACTCATCTTTGTCGATGCTTATAAGCCCCTGGATACATCATAACTGTGTGTGTGTGTGTGTGTGTGTGTGTGTGTGTTGCTTTTGTACATGAACCTCATAGCATCTGTGTATACATGCGGTTGAAAACATGGACTGCAAGTGCATTCAACGTGTCAGTGAATGTGTGCGTGTGTTTAGTGTGCTTGCAAATGTCATACAGGCCCATTCTTTGTTGTCTATGTTGCTCTTAAAAATATTTCCCATTTTGTGTGTGTTTGTAAACTGCTGAAATGTCTCAATTCCTGGAAAACAAACCTTAACTAACAACTCATTTTGCGATGATTAGGCCTTAATATAGTATATAAATATAATTATTTCTATCCCTAAAATCAAAGTAAACCTGATCATGCACATCCATATCCATAGTGTTGGGTGTAGCTTCCCTCCCCTCTATTTAGAATCACAGTTGGTTTTACATAACACAGCTACTGAAAGTTATTTGCCATGTTATGTTGTCATGGACAGATATCGGTCTATATTTTGAGTGTTTTACAGTACTGCACATTCTCTGGGTCAAAAGAATGAAGTAAGAACCCGACTCACTGACACGTGTGGAATGTGACAGTTGAAGAGAGTTTCAGTTCTTCATGTAGATCCACACAGATGCTTTATTAGCATACAAGAGCAACATTCACATCCCAATGTTGTGCTGTGTGCTGAGAAAAAAATTATTTCAATGTAATGTTCCACTGTCAACCACCAAAGCTGAGGTGTTAAACATTTGACTGTGTTTAAACATGTTTGTAAATCTGTGTGTGTGTGTGTGTGTGTGTGTGTGTGTGAGAGAGAGAGAGAGAGTGAGAGAGAGTGAGAGAGAGAGAGGTTGCAGTTACTGTTGCACACACATAGACACACACACGCACACACACACACACACACACACACACACACACACACACACACACACACACACACACACATCAAAGCAGAGATTGGTTTCAGGAAATGTTTTATTATCTGTTCTCTTCCAAAGCTGCTAATCACAACCACTCTCTTTCATCTTTGCATCCCCCTTTTCCACCCCTCCAATTTCTTTCTCTCTATCTCCCTCTCTCCTCCACACTTTTCTCTTCCCCCTCCATCCTGTGTGCAGGGCAATGTGAGCGTTAGAAAAGTCATATGGAAAAGAGGAAAACATTTAGAGAGAAATTAAGGGAGGAGGAAAGAAAGAAAGAGTGTGTGCATTATTGTGGCGGAGCAGATCTGAGTCTCCCTGTAGGGCTCCCATTTCCCTTTTAGAGAAAAGAGCCTTCCCTCTCCTCACTTTCCCTTTTCTCTGTTTCCTCCTCTCTATGAGACTGAGGAGCACTGAGCTAATTCTCCCGGAGAATCCCTCACCCACCGACAATACCCACATTCCAGGTTGTCAGATATATTGGAAATACTGGGAATATACAGCCTGCTGGTGCCGAGATGGCAGGGAGCTCGGCAAAACAGCAGGCAGCAGGGGAAACCTTGTCCCAATCACTCCCAAATCATTCCACAACAAAGGACAAGGGCCTTGGAATTGCCATAATCCTGTATTTTACTGCTGAGCTGTGATGGGCTCGGCTGTACAGTAGCTCTTGTGTGTGTGTGTGTGTGTGTGTGTGTGTGTGTGTGTGTGTGTGTGTGTGTGTTTGCAGTGTGATACGTTATTTAGGCTTAGGGTTTAGGGTCAAGCTTACACTTTTTCCTTTGATCCTGCAATTCTCTGGATTTGATGAGGTCAGTTTTGTGTTCTGCAGCTGAGCTGACACAAATCCCTAATTTCTACCTGAAAAATGTCATAACTCAAATGTTTATCCCTTGTTTGAAAGACTTTTATTTGAAAGTTTTTTTTAACGTTTAAAAGAAGACAAATGCTTTTTTTCCACAGTGTTTTCTTGATATTGTTTTTTGCTGGAAATGCACATGGTGTGAGAAATAGAGACCAGTGGATAGACACTTTTGAGAAAGACAGAAGAAGAAACAGAAAGATTGGATGATGGAGACACAAAGAATGAAAGAAAGGAGTGAGAGGATGTCTTGCTTTAAATCTTTCTCTCACCTGTCTTTTTCTCCTCTCCGCTCCCTCCTTGCCTTCCTCCCTCCCTCTCTCTTCCGCTCTATCGCTCTTTGTCTGATCCCTCCCTCTCCACCTGCTCTTCTCCCTCTTTCTCTCTCTCTCGGTCTCCCTCCTCGTCTCCACCCCTTACTCCGCCCCTCCCCACAGCCATTGGTCAAGTATCCACCAATCACAGCGGAACCGGGGCCTGAGGGACTGCATATGCAAAACAATGCTTAATATTCATGAGCTGCTATCGGGGCTTTAAGTCGTTGATTAGGACAGCGGCACAGCTTTCCGTCCCAACTGCCTGGCTGGCTGGCTGTGTGTGTACCTATAGCCCCCTCTTCCTGGCTCTCACATACACACACTGCGCACACACACACACGCTCCCTCACATCCACACACACGCAGAGCCGATCAGTGCAGGCAGCGCAGAGCCTGGTAATTGTATTGCTCCCTCCAAGCGGAAGGAAGGACTGAGAGAGAGGAAGACCGGAGAAAGAAGAGGAGGAGAGAGAGGAAAGATATAAAAACTTTGATTTTTTTGAATTTTCTTGTTTTTTTTTTCCCTGGAGGAGGTTGACATGACAATGACCCGGTATCGCCGATGGATTCGGTAGGACACCCGTTATCCGAGTGTTTTTTAATGCACTCTGAACAAGAGTAGGTAAATTTTACCTTTTAATCTTATCCTTCATTCAACTTGTCATTGTCATTCATTGTGAATGTGTGAGTGTTTATGTGTATGTGTGTGTTTGTGTGTGTTTGTTTGTGTGTGCTGGTATGCAGCGGAGGTGGCCGGCACCATGTCAAGGTTGTTTCTGCTGTCAGGTAGCACGCGTTCACTGTCTGTGTGTGTATGTGTGTGTGTGGCTGCAGTATCCGGACAGCAGCTCTTACTCAGTGGGTAGAGGAGCGGAATTTCTGTCCCTCCACCTGGGAGTGAGACATGCACACAAACACACCTGCATGCACACAGACACACAGACACACACACACACACACACTCATTAAGGATGTAGAGAAACAGTTTTTCCTTCACTTTCTCTGTTTTTTAAGACATTGTTTTACTTTGAGTCAAATTGTTCTCAGGACAAAAACTCAGTCAGGATACGTCTACATATGTGTATGCCCGTGCATGTGTTTATACTTGTGCATGTGTGTTTTTATGTGTTCGTCTAAGCAGAGAATCATCGAGGTAACAGGGCATTGAGGTTACAGGAATAACGTGGGGAGACGGGAGAAGGGCCCATAATAGAGGAGGGAGGAGGAAAGGGGGAGCGCTGCGCTCTTAAATGCCAGAGGAGGTAGAATTTCAGACGGGCAACTCAGCGTGTGGCCCGCACAGGAATTAGAGACAGTTACACACACACACACACACACACACACAAGCGAGTGCTGCTGAGCTGCTCCTTTCGCCAATGCTTTGCTCTTTTAGGTGCATGTTCAAAATGCAGATTAACTGATTGGCGGAACGGACAGCAGTGTGTGTGTGTGTGTGTGTGTGTGTGTGTGTTATTGTGCGCGTACCATGCAAGGTGGATTTTATGAAAATACACAAGGGCAGTCTAACTCATAGATAAAAGTGTAGCAAATATACCAATGTACACACACTTTGTCCTTTTTCAAACATTACAAAGTAAAACAGGGATTTATCTGAAGTGGTGAGTGTAATTCAGTAAGTGCACTGATCTCTCTTTGCACGTAGGTATGAATCTAACAATGACACTGATTCATTAGTCATTAATTAATGTCAGAATGTTATAGAAAATAATGTACATTCGTAGATTAATTTTGTTCTAAGTTCTCTTATCTTTATAGTAAATAAATTAAAATGAGTTTACACGGCCCCAGTTAAAGTGTCTTTACGCCGGAAAGTCGGAGGTGGAGAACTAAAAGGGCAAAGTTAAACCAGAAGCAGACGCAGGATGATATACTGATGTGTTTCCCAAACATGATATTGTTGACATTTTTAAAGAAAACTGGCATTTTTTGTGTGCTTTGAAGGCGTCTCACCTTTGTGTGTGTCTGTGTGTGTAAGAGTGTGTGCGTGTGGCTTTTACATCCAGATACTCCTACACAGTACGTGGAATAGAGAGGGACATTTTTGAGTAAAAAGAGAAGCTAGTGAAGGAAGACCACTTCTTTACCATTGAACTTGTCTTTCATCATTTAAAAAAAAAAACATTTTTGGCAGTGTGTTTCAGTTATTAGATTCTCAAAAAAAGAGTTTTGAAAATTCCTGAGAGATTCCTTTCACACAATTTTATGTATATTGAAACATTCATGATCAAAGAACACCTAAAGGGGTTTTTATTTATCATTTTTAAATATCAGTGCAATGTCATAAATCAGGCTTTTGGTGACTTTTGAGTTGTGATCTGAACAAAGACTAGAACAACTTTTCATATTGAGCATGCTGATTTCCTTTTGTAAATCAAATGACTGGATGTACAGAGCAAAGTCTGAATTCTGTATATTTTTTGGTCTTGAGGAGCCTGTACACTGTATGTTTACGCGTTGGTTTTTCAACTGCAAAACAGTGTGGTGTGTTTTAAGACTACCAACTAAACTCTGTTTTTTAACTGTGAATTTGACCTGAAAAGTGAACATTTTTCACCTGTTTTTGGTCAATAATTGCTGGCGAAGTGTAAAGTGTGAGAGCTGTGTTTAGAAATCGAGCACAAATATACTGACCGAAAAACACACTTTGCAGTGGAATGTGCTGCTTTACATGTGTGTGTTTCTGTGAGCGCTCATAAACTGTGACCGCTTTCACATATTTTAGAAAACCGTATGGTCCATTCTTGCATCTGTTCCGTCTGTCCACTCCTTCATCCATCCATCCATCCATCCATCCATCCATTCATCCATCCATCCATCCATCCACTGTTCTCTGTCAGGGTTCCTCTCCTTTGCTCTCAGGCACTGCTTTCCTACACTAATTAAAATATTAGGGATAATGATGATCATACCGATAATAATAATAATAATAACAACAAGTACCGCTTAAGCTGTTAACATAATTGCATTCCCCTCATGCCACCATATACATACCATTTGCATATCATTAAGATATATTTCCGACAGTGACTTTAGTGAATTTGGTGGTTTTTGTCAGTGGGTTGTGAAGGAGACGGGTGGTGAGAATTACACAGCGGCCGCGCAGATCATTCAGTCAAAGGTTTGCGTTGTGAGAGATGAAGAGAAACACAACGCAGCATGAATGATTTCAGTCAGATTTTTTTTTAACTGGGATTTTTGTCTAGATTTGTAGATTTGATTTTTTTTTTAATTGCATGGAAATGTTATGCAAATAAATTGTTTGAGATTGTGAGTAAAAAAAAAATCTAAATGTCTGTCTCTATGAAACAACAGTTTGGTGCATGTTTGAAATTGCCTTGATGAAAATTTTTAATTCATCACAATAAATTCAAACACACCAGATATATGAACCAAATTGTCACAGTGACCATTATTTGGTATTTGAACAGATTTAATGATTAATCAGGTGCACAAGATAGCGCTCAATTTTCACCTTTCAAGTCTAAGGCTGACCGCTTTGCTTACATTCACTTGTTCATTCAAAATGTCAGCACGTGCTTTTAACTAAAACCTAAATAATGCGTCTTTATAATAATGTTGTGGTGGCTTAAAACACATAATGTTAATATGCTTTTGCAGTTTAAAACTATGATAAAGAAAAGATCAACATATGTAGAATTAATGAGAATGTAAAGAAAATATTACTTGCTTCCTTTCTAAGAAAATTAAGAGCATTTATTATATTTCTTCCTGCCTTTTTCTCTTTCTTTTCTTGTCAGTCTCTCGTGCAGTCTTTTTCTCAGGCCATGAGGGAGAGAAAGCAATAGAGAGAGAGAGAGAGAAAAAGGGAGAGAGGTAAAGCTTACTGGAGGGAGGGACGGGGGGGGTACCAAAGAGAGATTGCGTAAATTAAAATCCTTTTAATCTCCTTATAAAATCATTTACTTAATTCATCTGTCAAAGCATGTCAATATGTGCCGCACTGATTTGTTGGCTGAGTGTGTGTGTGTGTGTGTGTGTGTGTGTGTGTGTGTGTGTGTGTGTGTGTGTGTGTGCGCGCATTTGCATTTGTTTGTTGTCATGCATGGCTTCGTGCCTGCCTGCCTGCCCAAATTTTGAGTGTACGTGTGTGTGACCTATTAGTGGCCTGTGTGAGGAGGTGTTGTTCCTCTTTTTGTGTGTCTGTTTGCCTGTCCGTCTGTCCCTACAGCATTCATTGTCTGTCAGTTTTTGCATTGTCCAAGCCAATACACACGCACAAACACACACTCCTGCATACGGCGGCCTCTCTCTCATGTGAAGGGTCCAAGCATTCCAGTGGTAATTTAGTCCCGTAAAGAGAGAGAGAGAGAGACGCAATGAGAGAGACAGACAGAGGGAGAGGTGGGAAGAGGTTGGAGGGGGTGGCAGGGGGGTGGCTTTTGTCTGACACCAGCACTTAAGGGTCCGCTGGACACACATGTACGCATGAGCGCACACATGCATGCACACACACATTTTTTTGTGCTTTTGCAGCTAAAAATTAGCCAAATTGTGTCAAAAATGCAATTACACATTCATACATGTACACATGAACACACACACACACCTACTGAAAACACCATCTCACACCTAAACACATTTGTATGGCTTTGATGATGTAAATTTCTCTGATTTATGCTCCATATATCCATCAGTGCAGGATGTGTGAGTGTGTGTGTGAGTATGTTATGGGTCAGTGCCGGCCTTTATGTGTTGAAAGAGCAGTAAGAGAGACTGTACCAGCTGTGACACACACACACACACTCACTGCAATTAGCCATTACACCACACTCGTGGTGAAGCTAAACATGTTTGTGTGTGTGTGTGTGTGTGTGTGTGTGTGTGTGTGTGTGTGTGTGTGTGTGTGTGTGTGTGTGTGTGGGATTGAATGCCAAAGCGCTGATTGAAAGAAGAGAGAGAGTGATATATAGTAAGAGACAACGCTGCTCATCTCTTCTCATCTCTTATCCTCCCCCCCTTCCCTCTCTCTCCGCCGCTCATTCCTCATGTTCCGTCATCCATACATCAAAATGTGCATTCATTTATTATTACTATTATCACAATCTATCAAATAAATTATGCTTTGACTAAGAATTAATCTTCTTACTGATACGTCCATTCAGTACTGACACTTTTCTGTCTAATTCAAGGCTACTTTTATGACATTTCTACTTTATGTAGCAGCGTAGGTTAGAGGGATGCTGAAGAAAGTCTTCTTTGCCTCTGTGCAGATTTGAGCTTTCAGAGTCCAAAGCATGTGCTATTTATCTTCTTTTTAAATAAATGAACAGGTCTTTTTTTACGGATCTGTCTGTTTGATTTTAGGTAACATCGACTTTTCTTAATTAATGTTGTAATTTAGAATCGTTATTTTCACTGCTGTAGCTTTATGATTTTCAGAGACAGAGTTACTCAAATGTGATTTCAGCTGTTCACTGCGTAGCCTATCGAGCTGCGCTTCAGAACGGGGGACCGGTGTATGTATACGTGTGAGTGTGTGTGCGCCCATCGTGTCGTGCTCAGGGCTTCTAATGCTGCCTCTCACTCCTAATGGGAGGAGACAGCGGAGACTGGGCCACAATAGAACAGATTTAGATGGAG